TTAAAACTAGGAGCTTCGGGCAGCAAGAATCACTCAGGGCGATAATGTGATGAGTGCGATGTTTGATGGAGTGAGTGAGTGAGGCGAGACAACGTGAGTGCAGTAAGCTGAGGAGATGAGGCCCTCAGCCCCCCCTACCGTGGGTAAGTGTGGGCGGCGCCTCTGGCCACCCACGGCCGCCCTCAGGTAGGGGCGGGTCATGGCACCAGTGGTCACCACCTGGTCTTCACCTCCCACCACCGGCCTGCCAGCGTCTCCTGGTGGCCCATCATGGCCTCAGGGTCCGCTCCTCAACACCCCGGGGGCCCACAGCTGCACCCCCACAACACTGGGGGCCCACAGCTGCACCCCCACAACACTGGGGGCCCACAGCTGCACCCCCACAACACTGGGGGTCAACAACTGGACCCCCACCACACCAGGGGCCACCAACTGGACCCCCACCACACCAGGGGCCACCAACTGGACCCCCATCACACCAGGGGCCACCAACTGGACCCCCATCACACCAGGGGCCACCAACTGGACCCCCACCTACACAGGTAAGACCCATCAACACCTAAGTTGTTAATAAGGGTTAAATATGGTTAAGCTTTAATGTCCAAGGGCTTGTAAAAGTCTGAGGGACGAGGAAGGATGAGGAGCATGTAGACTCGCACCCTCTCCTGTCTTGATCTTTCTCTCTGCTCGTCTTCTGTTTAATTAGATTTCACATGGCGGGGTCTTGATGACCTCCATAAGAGTGACCATTTCCCCATCCTTGTTACCTTTTTCTCTTTTCGCCCTCCCTTCTCCTTCCCTAGGTGGCACTTTGCTAAGGCTGACTGGAACCTATTCGCCCTCCATGCTACTCTTTCCGACTACTCCGCTCTTCCTCTCAATTGAGCTCTCCTCCTTTTTCATGACACCATATTTGATGCTGCCCTCCGCTCTCATCCTCACTCTACCTCCCGGGACACGCGGAAGTGCGTTCCCTGGTGGAATGGGGACTGTGCTCGGGCTGTCCGCTGTAAGCGTGCAGCCTGGAAGAAACACCGACGCCGGCAGACGGCTGCTTCTTTTATTTCATTTCGGAAGGCGAGTGCGGTGGCCCGTAGGACCATCCGTACAGCTAAACATTAGAGTTGGAAATCTTATGTCTCCACCATTACGTTCGACATGCCTCTGCCTCAGATCTGGAAGTAAATCTGCAAGATAGCGTGTAAGTTTGTTCCAGATGTCTCGCCAGTCCTTCACCTCCATGGTACTCTTGTGGCGGACCCAGGGATGGTCGCGACCGAACTCGGTTACCACTTTTCGACCGTTAGCTGGTTCTTATCTTCCTCAATCTTTCCTTATTCATAAGCCCATTCTTGAATCTCGTCCCTTAGATTTCTGCACTAATATCCGACTTCCCTATAACAATCCCTTCTCTCTGAACTTCACTCTGCTCTGGCCCTCTGCGGTTCTACGGCAGCAGGCTCAGATGACATTCATTATGAGATGCTTTGCCTTCTCCCTCCTCCTTGCATTCCTCCTTTGATGCTTTTGCATCCTCTCTCCTCCTCCTGTGTCACATCTCCGTCTTTACTGAATCTGTATAACCGTATCTGGGAGTCGTCGTCAGTCCCTGAGGACTGGTTTGATGTGGTTGTTCTTCCTATTCGAAAATCAGGGTCTCTAGGGACATCCCTAAAGGACTTCTGCCCCGTTGCTCTCATGAGTTGCATCTGCAAACTCTTTGAACAAATGGTCAATGTCCATCTGATGTGGTTCTTGGAACACCATCACCACCTCTTCCCTTCTCAATTTGGTTTTCACAAGTGCCGCAGCACGACTGATGTCTTGGTGAGGTTGGAGGTCTATATTAGTACTGCTTTTGCTGCGAAGACCTCAGTTGTTGCTGTCCTTTTTGACCTGGAAAAGGCTTATGACACCACCTGGAGATACCACATTCTGTCCCAACTCCGTTCCTTTTGATCTTCGTGGTAATCTCTCTCTTCCTACAAAGCTTCCACTCTAATCGTTCCTTTAGAGTAAGGCTTGGTGCCACTCTCTCTGCCTCTTTTTGGCAATACAAAGGTGTGCCCCAAATTAGTGTTCTGAGCACTACTCTTTTTCCTGGATGCCCACAATGGTCTACTTTCCTCCTTTCTGGCATCTTCACAGCTCTCTATATCGATGATCTTAACCTCTGCTGTCCAGGTGATGATTCGCCTTTCCTTCACCTGTGGCTTCAACTTGCTATTGATACCGTGTCGTCTTGGGCCACTAATCATGGCTTCAAGCTCTCTACAACTAAAACTTGTGCCATGACTTTTAATCGGAAGCAGGTCTTTCTTCATACCCCTCTTTTGCTTTATGGTTATTCCCTTTTGTACAAAGATTCTGCTAAGCTTTTTGGGCTAATCTTTGACACTCGTTTGTCTTGGTCACCCCATATCTCTTACCTCTGAGTTGAATGTTCTAATGCCCTTAATTTACTTAAGGTATTGTCCCAAACTTCTTGGGGAGTTGATAGGCGCACTCTCCTCTCTCTTTACATTCATCTCTCGTACTGTCTAAGCTCGATTATGGTTGTCCTACTTACTCCTCTGCTTCTCCTCCTACTCTTCACCATCTTGACGCTCTGCTCCGTACTGAGTTACGCCACAGCTCTGGTGCCTTTCGTTTGACTCCTACCCTCAGCCTGTATGTTGAAACTGACGTCCTGTCTCCACAGGATCGCCGTGATCGCTACTGTCTTCGCTACCTTACACGGTCCTTACAACACCCTCACTCTCGCCTATGTCGTGTTTTGACTGTTACCTCTCCTATGGTTCTTGTTCCCCTTCACTACCTACGTTTTTCTGTACGGTTGTCTTGCTTACAAAATGCTTATTCGGTTCCTGTTACCAATGTTTGCCCTTGCATTGTTCCGTCCTTGCCCCCGTGGAGGGCCCCCCTTGCTAAATTTTGTAAAACCCTGACCCACATGACCAAAACTTTTACTCCTCCTATGGGTCTCAATCACCTTTTCCTTGAACACTTTTCTTCACACTCCTGCTCCATTTCCGTCTTCACCGATGGGTCTAAGTCTGCAGACAGTGTAGGCTACTCTGTTGTTTTCCTGCTCACACCTATATGTGTCGCCGGCCTCCGGAGACTAACATCTTCATGGCAGAACGTTATGATATTCTGTATGCTCTTCGTCAACTGCTTTGTCACTGTCTATCCACCTTTGTTGTTTCTTTAGTTGATCTCTTGCGGTGCCCACATGGCTCTGGAGTCCTTTAATCCAGTCCATCCTGTGGTAATCGAAATTCAACATTGGTTGTTTCTTACCTCCGGTAGATTTAAGACTGGGTTTCAATTGAGTTTTGCTGGGTTCCCAGCCATATTGGTGTGTCCTAAAATGAGCGCGCGAACGTTGTCGCTAAGGAGGCTATCCGCACTTGTCCCATCTCCCGTAAAGGTGTTCCTAATTCCGACTTTTACCCAGTTATTCATTCCTCCATCCTTGCCTGTTGGCAGGTCGTTGGTCTTCAGTTACTAGTAACAAACTGCGAGCTCTTAAGAGAAGTGTGTACGCGAGGCTTTCCTCCTACCACCGGAAACGGCTCTGGCGAGGTTACATATTGGTCATACACCTTTAACTCACGGGCACTTAATGGAGCCCCGCCCTGCTCCTTATTGTCCAAACTGCATTGTTCCTCTTACGGTCGTGCATATCCTTGTTCAATGTCCTGACTTCCAGGACGAATGTGTCGTGCTTCACGACCGTCCCTCGCAGTAACTTGTCCCTCCACAGAATTCTTGGTGAATCGGATACCTTTGATAGCGTTTACCTTGTGCTTTTTTGTTCTCGTATTGGCATCCTTGGTGATATTTAGCGCCCTCTCACTATCCCGCACATTTGATGGTGCTACAGAGCCTTCCCGGCTTGGTGCCTTCCTTTGATAATTACTTGCTTGGTGGAGTGTATACTTGTAACACTTGAAGCATTGTTGTAGGTCGTAATGGCGTCCCTTCTTGGTCAGGGAGGCTCGGATCCTGACTCCCAAGCCCTTGATCCCTTGTGTGGCAGCCAAGTCCACTTTAGCCTCTCGTGTATTTACTTGTATCAGCCACAGGTGTGTACAGGGTGTGCCAGCCTCAGGTGTGTACAGGGTGTGCCAGCCTCAGGTGTGTACAGGTGTGCCAGCCTCAGGTGTGTACAGGTGTGTATAGGTGTACCAGCCACAGGTGTGTACAGGTGTTGCCAGCCTCAGGTGTGTACAGATGTTGCCACTCTCAGGTGTGTACAGGTATGCCAGTCTCAGGTGTGTACAGGTGTGCCAACCTCAGGTGTGTACATGTGTGCCAGTCTCAGGTGTGTACATGTGTGCCAGTCTCAGGTGTGTACAGGTGTGCCAACCTCAGGTGTGTACAGGGTGTGCCAGCCTCAGGTGTGTACAGATGTTACCAGCCTCAGGTGTGTACAGGTGTGCCAGTCTCAGGTGTGTACAGATGTTACCAGCCTCAGGTGTGGTGGCAGCAGGTGTGTAGAGGAAGAAGCAAGAGGAGGAGGGTGGACCACAGGAGACCACAGCAGCAGCCCCGTGACCCCCCCCCCCCTACACTTAAAGCTGCCTCTCTCCCTCTGGCCTTCCTGCCTTCCCTCCCTCCCTCCCTCCCTATCTCTCCCTCTCTCACCCCCTTCCTTATCCCTCCCTCCCTCACCCCCTTCCTTATCCCTCCCTCTCTCACCCCCTTCCTTATCTCTCCCTCCCTCACCCCCTTCCTTATCTCTCCCTCCCTCACCCCTTCCTTATCTCTCCCTCCCTCACCCCCTCCCTTATCTCTCCCTCCCTCCCTTCCTTATCTCCCCTCCCTCATCTCTCCCTCCCTCTCTCACCCCCTTCCTTATCCCTCCCTCCCTCACCCCCTTCCTTATCCCTCCCTCTCTCACCCCCTTCCTTATCTCTCCCTTCCTCACCCCCTTCCTTATCTCTCCCTCCCTCATCTCTCCCTCCCTCCCCCTTCCTTATCTCTCCCTCCCTCACCCCCCTTCCTTATCTCTCCCTCCCTCTCTCACCCCCTTCCTTATCCCTCCCTCCCTCACCCCCTTCCTTATCCCTCCCTCCCTCACCCCCTTCCTTATCTCTCCCTCCCTCACCCCCTTCCTTATCTCTCCCTCCCTCACCCCCCTTTCCCTATCCCTCCCTCCCTTACCCCCTTTCCCTATCCCTCCCTCACCCCCCTTTCCCTATCTCTCCCTCCCTCACCCCCCTTTCCCTAGCCCTCCCTCCCTCACCCCCCCCCTTCCCTCCCTCACCCCCTTCCCTAGCCCTCCCTCACCCCCTTCTCTATCCCTCCCTCCCTCACCCCCTTCCCTACCCCTCCCTCCCTCACCCCCCCCTCCTTCTCCTAGCCCTCCCTCCCTCACGCGCCCCTTCCCTATCCTTCCCTCACCCCCCTTTCCCTATCTCTCCCTCCCTCACCCCCTTCCCTAGCCCCTCCCTGGTTGATACCTGGTTGATGGGGTTCTGGGAGTTCTACTCCCCAAGCCCGGCCCGAGGCCAGGCTCGACTTGTGAGAGTTT